ATATTTTTTTTGGCTTTTTGAGACAGGGTCTCACTATGTAGTTGAGTCTGACCTGGAACTCACTATGTAGCCCAGGCTGGTTTCTAACTCACAGGGATCCTCTTGACTCAGCCTCCCGAGTGCTGGGATTCCCTTTTATTTTATTTTTTTCTCATCCAAACTTTTTTTTTAACACTTTATCCCATTCCCTCCCTCAAGTCCCCTCCCCTCCCTATGTACAAAAGCTTTGTTTCCATTTTTCCTTCTATTTTAACCTTTTTTTCTTGTTCCTTCTTTGCTTTCTCCCTCCCTCCTTCCTTGTTCCCCTTCCCATTTGAACACTTTCTTCCCATTTTCCAACATCCATTATACATCTCAGTCCTTATTTCCACATTCAGTTTCTCACACCAGAGAAACAATGCAGTATTTACACATGTGTGTCTGATTTATTTCCCTTAAGAGTATCCAATCCTCTTATATTTTGAGGCAGAGTCTTGCTAAGTTACCCAGGCTAGGCTTAAACTTGCATTCTTCCTGCCTCAGCCTCCCAGAGCGCTGGCATCAGAGGTGTGCACTACCATGCCTATCTAATAGATATAATTTTAAATATATATAATTTAATATATCCCAGTAGTGATAGTTTATTTATATCTATATCTGTATCTATCTATCTATCTATATGAATACCTTCTATGAATCACCTCACAGAAAGGCCCCTTTGCATATGTCCTGTGTGAAGGAGTGGTTAAAAAGCCTGCTGGAGGCTTGGTCTGGGCTGAGGCTTAGGGCGTGGCCAGGGCTGCTGGGTTTTAGGTGCTTCTGCACTGGAGTGTGAAGAGGCTGGGGTTCTGCCCCCCTCCGGGACCATGGAGAGGAAAAGAGGGCCTGTAAGGAGAGCAAGAAGGTGCCCAGAGTAGAATTCTGGAAGCCAAGGGAAGCTTGAATATGGTGGTCACCTAACACCAGCTGTCCTGGGGGCTCAGAGTTGGGAAGCCACGGGTGTCATCGGGCCGAGCAGCTTTAGGTACATTTCCGTACTGAAAGGAGAGGAGAAAGCCAACTACTTGATCTTTTTGGACTTCACGTTGAAATATAACATACATACATAGATCATGAGTTTTTTTTTTCTTTGTGGTGCTGGGGTTCAAACACAGGGCCTCATATACTTTAGCAAGTGCATAGACATGGCTCCACCCCTGGCCTTGTGAGGAGATTTCGACAGAATAAACATGCCAGTGTACCAAGGGCACTCTGGAAGCCCTCCTGCAAGCCCTTTTTGGTACTTGATACCCCGGCTTGCTAGGGTATCCTCTGTTTCTAACAGTCTGCTTCTAAAACCAGTTTGTCCCTGGAGAGAGGTGGAAGGATAAAGTGGTAGAGAGGGAATTAGGAGTGGAGGGCATTAGTTGTGTTTAAAACGAGACAGATTTTCCTTTTTATTTTTTTTGGTTTTTGGGACAGGGTCTTGCTGTGTAGCTCAGACTGCCCTTGAAGTGACTGTGTATCCCACGGTGGCTTTGAACTCACAGCGATCCTCCTGCCTCAGCCTCCCGGGTGCTGGGATTACAGGCATGCACCATTACACCTGGCTGAGGACAGATTTTCTTGAATGTAAATAAATCTCATAGTTTTCTCTAGTGGGTGGCTAGTCATGCTCTTTCTTTTTATGTTGTGGACAATTTTCATTTTTTTCTTTAAAATAAGTGTTTGAGTATTTATACCAGCTTGAGTAACTGTTGCCTACGCATCTGCTTGTGGCAGAGCACTTTTCTAAACTCACCTTATTCTGGAAACCGACGCTTGGGCCCTTCTTAGATTTCCTGAGTTAGATACTCAGAGGGAAGGTGCTGAGAGATCTGTACTTCTAAAATGCTCATCAGGTGATTAAGGAACCTCTGTGTGCCAAGATCTTTCATTGAAAAGGAAACTGGTCTGTATTTTATTGATTTATTTATTTTTGGTACTGGGGATTGAACTCCAGTCCTTGCACTTGTGAGGTAGGCAGTGGAACCACTGAGCCAAATCCCCAGCCCCTGTATTTTATTTTTTATCTTATTTATCAGTCTGTTTGTAGTACACAACTTTTACATTCCTTGTGTGGAGTTGGTCTGTGTACATAACACACCTTAATCCCTTTCCCTGCTCTTCTTCCCCTCCCTCTTTCTCTTAATCCTCTATTTGTAACAGCACAATTTACAGTAGTTAAATCTGGGAAGAAACCCATATATCCATCAACAGATGAATGAATAAAGAACATGTGGTATTTTCACACAATGGAGGGTATTGTGCCATGAAGAAGGATAAACTTGAGTCATTTTTAGGAAAATGAATGCACCTTGGGACCATAGTGTTAAGTGAAGTAACTCAGACACACAAGTTTAAATGTTGCATGCTTTCTTAATGAGATACCCAGAGTCGGGCTGGGGATTTAGCTCAGTGGTTCTGCTGCCTGCCTCGCAAGCGCAAGGTCCCAAGTTTGATCCTTGGTACCTAAAAAAATAAATAAAATAAACCCAGAGTAAAAATTAAGAACAAAAGAAAAGATAGTAGGAAGTAAGGAGATCGATTGTTGTCAAAGGGAAAGGGGATCAAGAGAAGGTCCGTATTTTACACTTGATCTTAGCCAAAAGGCTGAAAAGCAATTTTTTAAAAAAAATTTTTCTTCCCTTTGGTATGGGGGATGGAAATTAGGACCTTGGGCTTGCAAGGCAGGAGAGGTGCTGCTGAGCTAAATCCCTGGGCCCAAGATGGTCCATATTTTAAATGAAAATGCTAATAAGATAGAAGGTATATAATTGTGGGAGAATTAAGGGACACCCTTAAAAATGGGAGAGAGCATACACTGAATACTCTGGAGACCTGACAAAGAAAGAGAGGTGTCAAGGACAGGAGCCCCACCACTCATGAGAGTCTTGGCATAATTCTGGGAGTATCTTATTTAGCTTGCGTTTTTTCAACTTTAAAGCAGTTTTTCTGGGACACAGTCAGATTATGGTCAGTGAGCTGCAGAATTTTTGGCAGTGCTCTTTTACTTGCAAAACAAAAATAGTTTAGCCTTCTGGGTACCCACTATGATCTGAGTGTTTATGGCCTCCCTGGATTCATAGCTCAGCTAGCTGTGTCCAGGGATTTTCCCTTGCTGCTGGGCCTCAAGGACAAGCTATTTTCTGCCCAGCTTTGTTTAGAATACTAATGGGCTGAGGCTTTGTGGGAAACCCAGAAGCTGCTTGTAAATTCTCTATGGGTGGGGACCATACCCATGTGGTGTGCCTGGCATGGAGTAGGTGTGCAATAAATACTTGTTTCTGAAGTGAACTTCTAAGCTGGGCGTGGTGGCACACGCCTGTAATCCCAGCACTTGGGAGGCTCAGGCAGGAGAGCTGCCTGAGTTCCAGACCAGCCTGGGCTACATAGTGACTTCAAGACCCTGTCTCAAAGATAAATAAATAAATAAATAAATAGGGCCTGCCTAGCTTTCCCCAGCCCTGGTTTGGAACCCTAACCTGGGGAGGAGGGGTGAGGACTCAGGTGGGGGGCCGGGAGAGCATAAAGTGGAGAGCGGAGGAAAAACATAGACCACGAGGATCAAGTGAACTATGTGAACCATGGAGCAGATCAAGGATTGAGAGCAGCAGTTGAGAATGAGAAAGGTTAATGGGGCAGTTTGTGAAACAAGTATGGAGGTCGGACTCTGAACACAAACAGCCTAGAGGTCAGAGGTTCCTGTGTTGGACTGGAGTGAAGAGGGGGCATTGGCTAGAGCAGATACAGGAGGCATCAGAGACAAAGTCCAGGGGCAAAGTCCTGGGGTAGGGCTAGTCCAGCTCAGTGGAAGGTCCCAGGTCCCCCAGCACAGGCGCAGGTGCAGATATAGAGAAAGGACAAAGAGCAATAATGACACGCCTCTAGATACCAGTGGTGTCCTGGGCCTGGGCCTCAGGGAGGGGCTTCCTGGTAACTCAGCTCAGATGACCTGGCTTCTTTGAAAGAGCCGTAGGAGGAGGTTTGGTGTGTAAGGGAGCTATAAATTGATTAAACTGTGATTGATTTATTTTATTTTGGGGGCAGGGCCTTGCTATGTAGTTGAGGCTAGCTTTGAACTCTCTGAGATTTTCCTGCCTCAGCCTCCCCAGTGCTCAGATTACAGGTGTGCCCCACCACATCTGGCTTAGGCATGCTTTTAAAAACATATTTTTGATCTATTTTATCCAGTATAATATGGTTTGTATTACAGATTAGCCTAATCTTTCACATTATAACACTGTAAATTTCAGTAATATGATTTCCATGAGGCTAAATAATTCCTAACCAGACAGAAGAAGATCCCCTTTCCCCCCTTTGGTCTATTTCCTAGGTCTGGCTGGAGCGGGCAGTGAGCAGTTACTGAGTGTGTCTTACGTGTCAGCACAGCCCTAGCAGTAGGTACCTGAGGAAGACACAGCCTCGGCCTGAAAGGATTCCAGACTAGAAGGGAGAATTCGATAGCCAGACATGAATGATGAAGTAAAAGCGTGAGTGCACCCTGCTCTTACACAGTTGTGTGGAAAGACAGTGATGTGTAGGACACCTTAGACTCAGCTCGTGTGGCCGCATGCATCTGGGGCGCAGCAGGAGTGAATATGGGAAGCTGATGTTTTTGGACGAGGGCAGAGTGACAAAGGAGGTTAGAGACGGGCGGCAGCAGCATGATAGACCCTTGCTTCACATAAGAGCACTAGGTAGTAAACACCAGGAGAGCTCCAACAAGGCTAGAAAATAATTGGGGCTATAGTTTAGAAAGAGCACTCTTTCTCCTGTGGAGGTTTGAGTCCTCGAAGGGCGGGTGACCGGTTAGATGCCACTAAAACAATCCAGGAAAGAAACAAGGGCCCTAGGAGAACCAAGTAGAATTGGGATTGTTAAAGGCACAGTTAACAGAACAGAGTGCCTGGCTGGAAGGGGTGGTGGTGAAGATGACCTCAGTTTCTCCTTTTGTTGAAAAGTTAAATGGGCAAGTAAAAATGACATACATTTATTGTATACAAAACATGTTTTGGGCTGGGGATGTGGCTCAGTGGTAGAATGCATGTCTAGCATGCATGAGGCCCTGGGTTTGATCCCCAGGGCTGCAAAAAAAAAAAAAAAAGGAAGAATATGTATACATTGTGGAGTGGCTAAATTGTGCTAATTAATATGTGCATCACCTCATATGCTCATCATTTTTGTGGAACTAGAAAAGTTGAGCTCCTAGAAACAGATAATAGAACGGTGGTTCCTAGGGGTTGGGGTGGGGATTGAGATGGTGGTCAAGGGGTAGAAATTTTCGGTCTGCCAGGTGTGGTAGCCCATACCTATAACCCTAGCATTGGGAGGATCACTGAGAGTTCAAGGCCAGCCTGGACTACATCAGGGGACCCTATCTCAAAATACTGAAAAGAAATTTCCAGTTAGACAGGAGGAATAAGTTCAAGAGATTGACTATGCAACCTAGTGATTATAGATAATAGCATTGTATTGTACTGAAAGTTGCCGAGAGTAGATTTTTAAGTGACCTCATTTTCTGATGCAGTCGTCACCATTCGTGAGAGAGAAGTAGAGAAAGAAGGGCAGATCTGAGGAAAAGATGATAAGTTGGGTTTGGACATGTCCAAAGATTAAAAAAAATAGAGAGAGAGATAGATACTGGTAGCTATTTATTTACATGAAGAGATAGGTAGAAAAAGTTAACAGCCATTGTCTTTTGGAAATTAAGATAAAGTTGACCTGAAATTTTAAGTCTGCAAGGACATGTATTTTAGGTTCTGGCTTCCTCAGAACTTCAGGAATGCATTTCAGGGCAGGAATGGCTGAGGTTCTCAATGTGCTCATGTTGTCCACACTTTTTATTAGTATGTGTTTGTGATGCATAGTAAATACATTCATCTGGGGAGCTGGTACATAGACGTACTGCATCTTGATCCTTTGAGAAAATGGTATACACACCTGGAGAGAAGCTTGGAGAGAAGACTTAAGATTGCTTCTGCATTTCAGGTACTTCAGAAGTCTGTGGGCCCGGCCAGCCTGAGCCTGCTCGCCTTCAGAGTCTATGCTGCACCAAAAAAGGACTTGGCTCAGAAAAACTCCATGAAGATCGATGAGGTGACGTACTATCCATGTGGTGGTGTGTTGTGAACACCCGATTTAATTAGTGCAGGGGAGTTTTTATAAATTACAGATCAGGAAGATAAATGACACTTACTTTTATTTTTTATTTTTGTGGTATTGTTACCAGGTTCTGGGGTCTTGTAAATTCTTTCCAGGGATTCTTTCTAGGTTCTTGGTGTCCCGAACAAAATCTTGGACAAGACACGTGAAAAAGGTAGCAAGGTTTTACCTTTATTGCAGATAGGAAAAGAATTACACTGCAGAGTGAGTTGGGCCAACTGAAGGTGGGAAAAGAAGGACCCCTGTAGAGTGACAGTGAGACACTAGAGAGCTCACAGTGGCCACGAGGTGAATGGCTGAGGTCTTTCCTATCCCCCAGTCTCCAGGCTGATGTCAGCTCTAGGCCATCCTATCAAAACCCTGCTTGATTTCATGCCAGAAGAACTGAAGACAGCACTTTCTGGTTGGTCCCAGGTGCACGGCTGGGAACTGTGTTCTGCACCTGTGTCCTGGATCTCTGTGATTGACAAGCCATGCCCACTTGCCCAGCCAGTTTGTCACACCCTAATCTCGGGCCTTGTTTCTGGGGATGGAGCCCAAGGCCTTGCCACATGATAGGCAAGCACTCTACTCTTGAGCTACATCCCCAGCCCAATGAGAATATATTTAAAATGAGGAAATATATTTCTTTGTATATAGTTTATTTTCTTTGTGGGAAGTGAGTAAACAATGGCTTTTTCAGCAGATGAATTCTTTTAATGGTTTTAACTGAGGGCACAATTAAGTAACATTTTATAGATTTTTTAGTAGAGTACCTGCCATGTCCCAGTAGATTATAAGTACAAATCAGTATTCTTATTGGCCTGCCTGGTTCTGGACTACTTATCAAGACAAGGAAATATTCATATTTTTCTCTCTCAAGTAAATTCCAGGCTTGGATTCTCTCTGCTTCTTGGCTGGGTTAGAAGCTCATAAATAGAAACTTAGTACACATTAAATAAATAAAACAAACCTCTCCATTACTTACATTCTTTTTTTGCCTGTGCTTCCCACTGATTATTTGAATATTTGATTTCTTTGCTTTTTTCTTTTTTTTCTTTCTTTTTTTTGCGGTACCGGGGATCGAACTCAGGACCTTGTGCTTGCCAAGCAGGTGCAGCGCCACTGAGCTACATCCCTGCCCCTCTTTGCTTTTGAATAAAGTGATGTGCAGCACTACCTTCAATCTCAGGTGGAGTTACTTGAACTGTGTTTATCTGCAGCTAATTATCTTTGCCCTTTACTCTTTTCAGGCCTAGGAACAGTGACATTGTGGGTGACAATGGCAGCCAGGAGAGGCCATGGGGGTTTCTGCTCTGGGTGGGGAACAAACCTGCTCTCCTACTTTGATCAGCACCACACTGATCATCACATGAACTACATAACCAGTTATTCTTTAGCTACTCTCACAGTTTTATGTTCATTTCTGATTTTTGAGACAAGGTCTCCCTGTGTAGTTCAGGCTGACCTCAAATTTGTGGTGATCCTCCTGTCTCAGCCTCCTCAATGCTGGGATCACAGGTGTGCATCACCACACCTGGCTCTTCAAAATTTTTAAACTCACCTACCCATACTTTAGAGTCCTGGAATCTATTTTCCAATCTAAATCTGAGGTTGGTTACCAGATACTGCCATCTAAAAGGGATAAAGGGTTTTGCCTTGTTTGCCAGCAGGGGACAAGGAGGAAATGGGACACCCTTATAACTCTACACTCTTGGCCTTCCCCTTACTGTTTTTCTTGGTACTAGGGATTTTTCCCCCCTAGTACAGGGCCTCACATATGCTAGGCAAGTACTTTACCACTGAGCTATGCCCCAGCCCTTTTTATTTTTTTAAATTTTGAGACCGGGTCTCACCAAGTTGCCTGGGCTAGCCTTGAACTTGAGATCCTCCTGCCTCAGGCTCTCTAGTAGCTGGGATTACAGGTGTGCCCCATCACACCTGGTGCCTTGTCCTTATTGATTAAGGGAGCAAAATGAAGAGATTGTCTGAAATATAGTCATAGATCCCATGTAACCTTAAGGGTCACTCTAATTTATGAACTATTTGAAATATTCTAACTACAAATTTGATCACTTACTATGTGATCACCTGACTGTCTCTTTGTTTTAATGTGTACAGCTCTCACTCTACTCAGTTCCTGAGGGTCAGTCTAAATACACGGAGGAGCCAAGGACTCAGCTTGAAGAAAGCATCTCACAGCTCCGACATCACTGCGAGCCATATACAAGTTGGTGCCAGGTACAGCTGTTTAGAGTCAGTCATGAAAAGTCTATATTGAACTGCATATTTTTTGGGAAAAGGAATAATAAAGGACCCCAGTTTAAGAGTGTTCAACTTACAGATGTTCCTCAGTGCCACCTGGAGGGCGGGTGCTGTGATACCGTTGCTTTCTGGTGGCAGCTGTTGCCATAGATGGCAGAGAGCACTCTGGTCAACACTTTGTTAGTGATGGTTCTGTAAACCTCGTGTCTACCAGGGAGGATGTAGGACTCTGATGGAAGGAAATGTGTACAATGTAAGAGTTTAGATCAAAATTAGGATGGTTTCCTGGCTCCAGAGATTGTGCAGAGTACAGGCTGAGTACCCTAGTCTGGGAGCATTTGGGATTTTTACATTAGGGACATTCAACTAGTAGTCTCTGTGAATATTCCGAAATGGAAAAAACTTGCCAGGTGTGGTGGTGCACACCTGTAATTCCAGCACTCAGGAGACAGAGGCAGGAGCATTGCTGTGACTTCAAGGCCAGCCTGGGCTACATAGCAAGTCCCTGTCTCAAAAAACAAAACCAAAAACTAAAGGGGGAGTGGGACTCCAAAATCTAAAACACTCTGGTCCCAAGCATTTTCAGATAAGAGATACTCAGTCTGTAAATAGGAATGGTTATGAAGCACTTTGAATACTATTATATGCAGGTACCCAAATGGGGTGGAGTTACATACTTGAGAGCTGAACTGTTTGCTTTCTTGACCAAAAGACTTTAGGTAAAGATTGGCTTCTGTCCCTGCTCATATTTTAGGTCAGGCATTTGTCACGAAAGGAGGGAAAGTATTTCTGTGATATTTCACATCTGAAACTGAAGTTTGCAGTCTACATGGCATTTTTGTAGACTTTAATACATGTTTGCTGGGTCTTGACTTTGAAAATTGAGGACAGATGAGTAAAAGCTAATATGCAAACGTGTGCAAAATGGTCCAGATTTACCTTGCTTGAGATTTACAGATTCAGCATTCATTCAGGACTTTTAAATTTCCACCATCTGCGCTGCTGCTGCTGAACTTCTGCTCACTAGTTGAGAAAAAAAAATTTCATGTATGGGCTTTATCAACAGTATAAATTAGAAATTATACTCTAAGCTAGTCGTGGAACACCTATGTCTTCCCTCCTGCATATCTATCTCTGCAATCAATTTTTTATAAGAGCACCAGGGGCTACCCAAATGACCTCATTTTAACTTGATTTCTCTAAAAAGACTTTATTTCCATGTAGAGTACTGGGAGTTCTGAAATACTGTAGAGTCCTGAAGTACTGGGAATAAGACTTCTATACACCTTTTTAGAGACAAGCAGTTAACCCTAACAACATCCAAGACCAATTACATCACATTCCCTTGGTAAGGTCAAGACATTAGTATTTTGGGCCGGGGATTTAGCTCAGCGGTTCAGTGGCCTGCCTTGCAAGCGCAAGGACCCGAGTTCGATCCCCGGTACAAAAAAACAAAAAAAAAGAAAAAAAGAAAAAAGAAAAAAAAAAGATTAGTAAGGGGCAGGGGGTCTGGCTCAGTGATAAAGTTTGTGTTTTGCATGCACAAAGCCCTGAATTCAATCTCCAGCACCAAAGAAGAAAAACAAAACAGGATTAAGTCAGCAAATTTGTGCAAGTATTTTTGTGCTGTGTCAGCATGACCACTGACTGTTCGGTGGGTGCTAGCAGAGGAACCCAGGCCTTGCACATGCTGAGAATGTGCTTTACCCTGAGCTACACCCCCAGCCTGTTTTTTTTGTAAAAAAAGTATTTTGTCTCTTTACCTTTCAACCTAAGGGTTTGTTTATGTTTTCTTTTGTGCACTATACTCAGTGCAACAAAATACCTCTTTGGACAGCAAATTAATTACCGACATGTTTATTTGTACTACTTTTACATGAAAAAGCTTTCTTGTAATTATAATGGTTTTATTTTCCTGAGTGGAGCAAAGTTTTCATGAATAGAAATCTTTCTGATTCCTGGCTCCTTTTTCACACCAGCAATTTCTAGTCCTTTTTTTTTTGAGACAGGGCTTGCTATGAAAGTTGGGCTGGCCTTGAATGCAAAGCAATCCTCTTGCCTCAGCCTCCAGAGTTGTGGGATGTATATATTCCACTGTGCCCAGCTTCTAGTCCTTTTCCGAACTACTAATTTATTATTTTAATATTAAAATGATGAAACTAGCAAAAGAGTGAGCTGTCACTCTAGATGTCAGTCTGTAGGTTTTTATTTTTTTTAACGGGTGAAAAAAACAATAATGAATTTTCATGAAGCAATGTTAAGTTCTTTGTGTCCTCCCCCAAATTTAGCATGAGGATAACGTGTTCTGACTTGAAATGAAATACATCAAACAAATCCTTTTCTAAGTGGCAGCTAGTTCAGACACCTCTGTCTCTTTTTCTGTCTTCACTGTATTGTTCTTGAAGGTGGGTACCTTCTAGGTAGTGCTTTGTTTCCTTTGGGATTGGGGCTTCTCCCCCAAACAAGGTTACTGACCACTTAGTCCCATAAAAGCTGGTCATTCCTGCTTCATATGGGCACTTTCCAGATGTCACTGTGACATAGTGGCAGGCAGGAGCTATCCTTCATTGGAAAGATCCAATCTCCTGAGAAGAGGCTTGCCCTGTAATTAGAAGGGGATTGAGTTTGAGGCTGGTTCCTTCCAGTTGAAGAGAAGAGTGAGAAGGCTGGGCTGCTGAACTGCTCTGCTCAGGATCTTTGCATCTGGTGGCAATAGGAAGCTACTCTGCTGAGCACTTTGTAATGAAGGGGAAATTACAAAAGAAAAAGAAGCCAGACCAACAAAACAGAGAGGATGTATCCCTTTGTTCAGAACTGCTCCTAGCTGGGGTGCAGCTCACTGGTAGAGTGCACACTTAGGCTGTCCAGGCTAGGGTTGGAAGACCAGCAGCCAAGCAGCAACGTGTGTTAGTAACCTGATAGTTTGTTCCATAAAGATGAGTATGTTTATTCTGTTACTTTCTAACCAGCAAATCCTACTTATTTCATTTTTTACCGTTTTAGGAAACGTATTCCCAAACTAAACCCAAGATGCAAAGTTTGGTTCAATGGGGATTAGGTAAGTTGATTTTTAATTAGGCAAATCAGTTATTTGATTAACATTGAACTGTTTGGGATTCCATGGAAGACTGTAGATCTGTGGATTCCTTAGAATTGTAGTTGCAGTTGTTTTATTTGATTTTATTTTTTATTTTTTTGGTACTGGAGATCGAACTCAGCACCTTACACTTGCCACATAGGCGCTGTGCTGCTGAGCCCTGGCCCTTATTTTGTTTTATGACAGGGTCTTACTGTGGTTCAGGCTGGCCCTAGACTCATTATGTAGCCCAGGCTGACCTTGAACTCACAGTGATCCTCCTGCCTTAGTCTCCCAAGTGCTGGGATTACACGTGTGCACCACCACACCTGGTTTGTACTCACAATTTTAGAGCTATGTAGATTTTTCTGCAAAGAAGAACTCTTGTTTTCATCAGATTTCAGTGGACTAGCATCCTCTAAATGTATTAGGTGAGCAAGCACAGGTACATTGGATTTTTTTTTTTTTTTGAGATAGGGCCTTACTGTGTAATTCATGCAGGATACACTGGAGTTTTTAAAAAAATCAATTTCCAAGTTTATTGTAGTACATCACACTAACTTATCAATAGATTTTCAGAATAGCTCATTTTCACTGCCATATTATATACTATAGAACAGTAGTGTTGAACCTATGACACACGTTATGTTTTTCTTTTCTTTTTTTTTCTTTTTTTTTTTTTTTTTTTTTTTTTTTTGATACTGGGGATCGAACTTGGGTTCTTGTGCTTGCAAGGCAGGCTATTGTGTTTTTCTTTTAAGACAATATATGTTAATGTATGAGTTGTTCTTTCTAAACCAAAACCTCAGTGTTCAGGTTTAATTGTAATGTCATCACTTTGCAATAAATAAGTGGGTTTTGGGTTGTAGTTTGGGTACTTGTTTCTAAAAGGTTCACCATCACTGCTATAGAAATTTAGGGGCGGAAAGGAACTGATCCAATGTGTCTGGGAAAAGTTCTATTGCACAATTAGTAGTGTTTCCACTTTTCTTTTGTTTTTCTTTTTTCTTTTTTTTTTTTGATAGTACTGGGAATTGGGCCCAGGGAGCAACCTTTTCTTATACAATATTTTTATTTGGAGGGAGGGTTTCACCAAGTTGTCCAGGCTAGCCTTGAGTTTGTAACCTTCCTACCTCAGCTTCCCAAGTAGTTGGGATTACAGGTGTGTGGCACTATACCTGGCTCACATGGTTTTTATTGTCCTTGATTGTTTTGGGCCACTTATCACATGCCCTCATAAACTGAGTTGACAGTTTACTATTTGGACTAATTTTAGTCAGGTCTATTAACTAGTAAGCTAATAGAGATGCCAATCACACTTCATTCCTCTTATTGGACATGGTGACGAGTGGAAATCTTGTTTTTACAAGGGTTCATTTTCATGATGGAACAAAATATGTGACTGTGGAGGTCTCCATTGTCACCTGTCATTTCCCATTGATCACAGCCATAGGTGGTGTTGGCAGTATTGGCTTGTTCTTATCCTGGATCCAGAGTTACTGCAGGTGCAAGCAGAAGCCTTCTATGCTGAGATGTATTATTGTCACCAAGTGTCTTAGTTACTTTTCTCCTTGCTGAGACAAAATACCCAACACCCAAAGTTAAAGGAAGAAAGGTTTATTTTGTCTCACAGTTTGAAGAGGTTTCAGTCCATAGTCAGCTGGCTCAAAGGCAAGGTGGTATGGTAGAAGGGCCTCGCAGAAGAGAAACAGTTCATGGCAGGCAGAAGGCAGGAGGGCAGCAAGTAGCAAGGAAGCAGCAGCAGCAGCAGACTGCCTCTCTCTTTTATCCTTTCCAAGCTACCTGCCTTTTGGGTAGAACCACCCAAACCCAAGGTGGGCCTTCCCATTATCCATACCCAAAACCATTCCAAACCAATCAGTGGACTAATTTAGTAATCACACACCCTGAAGCCCAGCATCACACACCCTAGATCCAGCCACCTCTGAAAAGCCCCTCCTATGATCGCATGAGGCTTTGAGGGGACATCTAGACACAAGCCATAACACCAAGGGAATGAGATTGTTCCCATCAGTCAGTACTCAGGCACCCAGGTGGAAGCTGGGCTTCAGCATCCAGTTCAGTCTGAAAACAGCACCTCTTTCTTTGTTTTGTGATGACTATATTGGCTCCATTCATCATAGCCATCTGCAAACTCCTGATCTCCCACCACTCTGCCTGCCTGCCTAGAATTGCACAATGCTATGCTTACAGTTAGGCAGAAATAAAGAGAAGTTGACAATTGCCTCAGATGACCCAGACAAGAGGATGGAAAATAGAAACTAGGTTAAAGGCAAAAGAAGTAAAAGACCAGATGGGAATTAGTGCAAACAAAACGCTAACCCTAGAGTAGTATGTAAAATGATCACCACATTTCCGCCCAGAAAAACCAGGAGTAAAAAATGGAGACATCTGGGGTATTACCTGGAGGAGAAGATTACTGAATAGTCCAGTTTATTACTTCAGTTCAGTTCAGCATGCATAAATTAAGTCGTCATCATGTCACACATTGAAGATCAAGATTGGCTAACAATGATCATAACCATTGAGATACATGTAATGAATTATTCAGTAGTAGGTCAGATGAGCCAGGCATAGTGGCACACATGTGTAATCTCAGCACTTGGAAGGCTGAGGCAGGAGGATTGCTCCAAGTTCAGGACCAGGCTGGGCTACATAATGAGTTCAAGGCCAGAGTGAGCTAAACAATGAGACTCTGTCTCAAAAACAAAAATGCTAAGCCAGGTGTAAGGCTGCATGCCTGTAATTTCAGCACTCAGCAGGCTGAGGCAGGAGAATCACTGTGAGTTTGAGGCCATCCTGGTCTATGCAGTGAGTTGAAGGCCAGCAAGATCCTGTATCAAAAAAAAAAAAAGAAAAAAACACTAGTGCAAATACAGAAACAATCACAGACCACTACTAAAGGTACAGAAGAAACTGAATAGAGACTGGGGAGATGGCAGCAGTTGGGAAGGGTTTCTGAGCTGAGCTGAATCAGAGAGACATTACCACCACATTGTGGGTGTGTGACTCTGAGTGGCACTGCACATAGCAGGTCTAGTGTGGTCAGGCTTAGAGGGAGGATGTGGGTTTGGGAAGATCAATGTAAGTCTTGGCATCCCATCATTAAGGTGCTCATGTTCTCCATGGGGAGATATGAACACACACCTGAGGCAGTTACAGTACACATCTGCAATCCCAGCACTTTGGGAGGCTGATGCACGAGGACCGCAAGTTCAAATCCTAGCTGGGCAACTTAGTGAGACCCTGTCTCAAAAAATTAAAAGGCTGGGGCTTGGGCCCAGTGGTAGAGCACACCTGGGTTTGATCCCCAATACTAAATATAGACACACACGCTGAATAATTAACTACCAGGTGCCCTAGAGTTAGATACCAAGTAATGGTGCAGATGGAACTTTAGGGGAGGAGGACAGGTCTAGCTGATGAGTTTAGAAAGAGCTTTACTGAGACGGTAGAGCTCCAGCTGGCTCTTATTTGGTGAGATTGGTTCAGTGAAGAGGAAGGGAGGAAAGAGGAGGGGAAGAGAGGGGAAGGGAGGGATCATGAGAATAGGATCATGAGGCATGCTGAGGCGTGGTGAATATACTCACGTTATTGATTGATTTTTGAGACAGGATCTCACTGTAGTTGAGGCTGACCTTGAACTCACAGTGATCCTCCTGCCTCAGCCTCCCAAGTGCTGGGATTATCGCTGTGCACCACAGTGCCTATTTTTAGTCTACACTATTGACAATATCTATTTCCAACATAAACTTGTACTACAGGTTTCCTTCTTTAGCCAAATGTATTGATCTTGTATTCAAAGAATGAGTTCAAATGACAGAGGATGCTTATTTTTCTAAGGATAATGTATTTGGTTACTGAGAGAATGTGTTGAAAAGAACATATTAGCAGAAAGTAAAGAACACATAGCTTGAAAAGTATTTGATATTATATAGTATATACTTTTGTTTTGTTTTTAATGAATTGTTTATGGGACTCATCCAATTTCCTCATCTGATTATCTTGCAGACAGCTATGAATATCTCCAGAATGCTCCGCCTGGTTTTTTCCCAAGACTTGGTGTTATTGGTTTTGCTGGCCTTGTTGGACTTGTTTTCACTAGAGGTGTGTGTGGTTTTATAGGTTCTTTTTTTTTTTCAGCTTTAATTGAGTTTATTGGTACATTTTAGGGATACAGTACAGTTACATTCATTATTGGGATCTTGTACCTCTACATGACAAGTCTTGGTTCTCATTTTTTCCCCTTGTCCCTGCCCTCCCTTCACCCCTCCTCCCCTCCCCATCTACAAACACTTTATTTCCATCTTTTCATTATCTCACATTTTTTTCTTTTCCCTTATTACCCTTCCCCTACCCATCCCACCTTCCCTACACCTTTAGCTCCTTTCTTCCCATTTATAGGTTCTTTTTAATAGTCAGTGCATATGGGAGAGATTGGGTGTCTGTTTGGTTCTTTACTCTCATTTAACAGTTTTCACAATAATGTATTGCTTCCTGGATATGGTCTTCTTAATACATAATTAGTATGGTTGTTTACTCCATTAGATTTGTCTCTATGCATATGTAGAAATTGTATACTGTGTTAAAAAAATAGAAATTAGTCATCCCTAAAAAGTACATTTACTTGTTTAAAACCTCATTGCTCTTTGATACAGAAAGAGTGAACTTTTATTCAAAGTCTTTTATACTTGAGAAATAAACTGTTTCTAAATATTTCAAGCTGTGAGTTATGGTAAATGGTAAATAGTGATTTAATACAAAATTTATTAACTTTTTGATGTGTGATAGCATAGTTCAATGGTAGTGTTAAAACTTTTGAAACGGGCTGGGGACTTAGCTCAGTGGAACCGTGCGTGACTTGCAAATGAAAGGTCCTGAGTTCAATCGCTGGCCAGAAAGAATAAAAAAAAAAAAAAAAAACTTTTGAAATGCTTAGACTTTAAAGCTAATAAAGTTAGGTTGGTGGTGCCTCCAGTGCTTGGGAGACTGAGGTAGGAGGATCTTGAGTTTGAGGCCAACCTAGGCTACATAGCAAGACCCCATCTCAACAAACAAAAATAATGAGTGAATTTGTTACCAAAAAAGTAATAAATGTATTATTAGAGGCTTGGGAGCGTAGCCCGGTGGTAGAGTTCTTGCCTAGCAACATGAGGCCTTGAGTTTGAGCCCCAGCACCCCACACACACACTCTCACACACTATTAGACTCTACTTATCGATTGCATTTATGGGAAAGAAATAAAAAGACTTCACTGTGATGACATTAATTTTTTATGAACTATAGGTATTTGAAGTTTCTTTTTTCTCTCTCATTGAGTTTATTGGTACATTTTAGGTATACAGTACTGTTACCTTCATCATTGGGATCTTGTATCTTTATATGACAGGTCTTGGTTCTCATTTTTTCCCCTTATCCCTGCCCTCCCTTCACTCCCTCCTCCCCTCCCCATTTACAAACACTTCATTTCCATTTTTTCATTTTCTTATATTTTTTTCTTTTTCCTTATTACCTTTCCCTTACTCTTCCCCCTTTCCCTACACCTTTAGCCCTTTTCTTCCTATTTCACATTGTCAGTTATATCATTAGGATCTTATGTACTATTATAGTTTTTCACACCAGAGAAACTATTCGGTATTTACACATGTGTGACTTATTTATTTCACTTAGGAGTATATCCTCAATATGTATTCATTTTCCTATGAATGAATCTAATTTCTCATTCTTTATGGCTGAGTAGTATTCCATTTTATAGAAAAACCACATCTTCTTTATTCAGTCTCCACCTGATGGGCAAATGGGCTGTTTCCAAGTTTTAGCTATTACAGACTGTGCCGCTATAAACATTGGTGTGCATGTATCACTGTGGTATGATTCTTTTAATTCTTTTGGAAAGATACCCAGCAGAGGGATGGCTGGGTCAAATGGAACCTCTAGTCCCAGCTCTTTGAGGTATCTCCATATTGATTTCCATAATGGTTGCACCAGTCTGCACTCCCACCAACAATGGAGAAGGGTTCCTTTCTACTCCGAAGTTTCACTAAATATTAAATAAACATTCATGGTATAAAAATCAGATGTTACAAAAATTCCTAATAGAGAAATTCCTATAAAGAACCCTGTAATCTGATCTTGATTAAAAAAACATAGTTTGATACCTATATTTCTTTAGAATTCCTCCCACCTGATGCATCAAGTGTTATTTTAGGATGTGGAGGGCAAGCTGGGCATGGTGGTGCACACCTATAATCCCAGCACTTGGGAGGCTGAGAGGAGGATTGTGATGCATCAAGTGTTATTTTAGGATGTGGAGGGCAAGCTGGGCATGGTGGTGCACACCTATAATCCCAGCACTTGGGAGGCTGAGGCAGGAGGATTGCTATGAGTTCTAGGCCAGCCTGAGCTACATAATAAAAGTCTGTCTAAAAAATAAAAACAAAAAAATAATGTGGAATGTAGAGGGCGAACCTTGCCCTGTGCCCCTCCCAGCTCACCTGTGTAATGAACTCACCTCATAGTCCCTGTGTCCTCCTATCTTGTGTAGAATCCTGAGAATTAAATTTCTCATTCAGTTTTAGTAGTCAATTTATGAACCAACATTTTCTCATAGCCACCCTCCCTCCCCGCTTTTCGGGGGAGGGCGGTACTGGGGATTGAACCCAGGGCCTGAGCTGTCAGTCTACATTCCCAGCATTTTTTATATTTAGAGGCAAGGTTTTACTAAGTCACGTTGTTACCTAGGCTGGGTTCAGATTTGTCATCCTTCTGGGATTACAGGCATGCGCCACCTGCCCGGCTAGCCACAAACACTCCTAGGCACGTGCAGGTGACGGCAAGTCTTTTCCCAGGGGCTCTGAGGTGAGTCATATTGGAGGGTTTCCGGAGCCAGCAAGTGGGGTGGTAGGTCTGCTGATGGGCTCCAAAGGCTTTGAGGTCCTTCCAGGGAGCAGCAGGACGGCCGAAGGTCCCTCTTGGTAGCACTTGTCAATTGCATCTGCCACGTGCTAATGAGGATGGCCTGACTGACTGTGCTGGTGATGTGACAGGAGGCTGCCAGCAACATGGCTCTTGTCACCACCGCCTTCTTTGTGCCGGAGGCCCCAGAGCTGTCAGCTTGTCCTAGAGGGCTGGAAAGTGCCCAGGTCTCAGAGCTTCCAGGGGACAGGGCAGGCCGTGGGGAACAGGCTTTTCTCTTCTAGGAGAATAGTGCCTTTCAATACAGGTGATAGGACCGTGAGAGAAATATTAGTGGCCTTGGTTGATACCAATTGTCTTCTCAAGAGCTCCGGTTTCATCTTTGGGGATTTATTTACCATGGCCCAGGCATATAGCTCGGGGTAGAGGGCTTGTGTACCATGCAAGGCCCTAGGGTGGATCTTTAGCACCACAAAAATGTCATTTTAAATAAAAATAAAATTTAGCCAGATGAGGTGTTGCATGCCTGTAATGCCAGCACTCTGGGAGGCTGAGGCAGGAAGATCACGAGTTCAAGCCCAGCTTAAGCAATTTAGTGAGATCTTCTGTCAAAAATAAAAAAAGGGCAGGGAGTGTAGTTCAGTGTGGAGGCCCTATGTTCAGTCCCTAATACCACATAATAATAATAATAATAATAATAATAATAATAATTTAACTCCAATCACAGCACTTACATTGTCAGATGTGATTACTACATACATTGCACTAGCACCCATATGGTCCCTGGTCCAGAGCACCATGCCTCGCAGCAGAGCGTGTTTCTAGCTTGAGTCCATCTGCATCCTCCTGTTTCTGCCCCTACCAGTTGTTTTCACCTCATTCTCAGGTTTCCGCAAACTCAGCATCCATTCTCTTCTCCCCCATAGCTCCATCCTCTTGCAGCTGGCCTAAGACTTCGGCACATCTGTTGTTGTCTTGGGACTTGGCTCCTGATCTGTCTGGTCGGTGCCCCTCTCTTGGCCTCCTGTCGTCTGCTCCTCGGTTCCCTCCTCTGCGTGTTATTAGGCCTTCAGAGCAGTTTGTGTTGGAGACAGGCTCTCTAAGAGTTTCGTGTGTCTTCCTCTTGCCTGCAATAGCTCAAGTAGAGAATTTGTTTTCCGTCCAAACATGGAAAGCTGTGCCCTCTGGCATCCAGTGTCACGGAGCAGAGGTTCAATAGCCATTCTGCATACTTGTTGCTTCTGAAATGATTTTTTTTAACTTCCTTGAAGCTGTGAGGGTCGTAATCTTTAATCTTTTGAGTTTCCATGGTGCTGTGATGAGATTTAGATGTTTTCGCTCCTTGCTTGTGTACTTTGCTGGCTTGTAGCCTTCATATGAGGGATTGTATCCATCTGGTATTTGAAAATTTGCTCTCTTCATTTTTCCTTCCTGAACTCCTATTAATTAGCAGTAAAGTTTTAAAATGACCCTAAATGTCTCATATTTTCTTATTTTATTTATTCCTTTTGGATTTTTTTTTTTACTTTGGTCATTTTCATAAGCTCTTTGTTATTCTCTGAATATCCTTTTTTCATAGAATTTTTTTCTTTTAATGCAGTAGCTTCTTGATTTGCTTGGTGCTACTTAATAACAGGTTTAGTTGTTTTTCGAAGTTCATGTTTTCTTGCTTGTCTTGGTCTTTCTCTTTTATGTTGCAGGCTTCCCTTCAGTGCCCAGGATCCTCACTGTCAGGTCATTTTTCAGAGTGAGGTAGTTGAAATGCTAGGATGTACTCTGTGGAGCCAGCTCGCTGACAGGGAGGTTCCAGGTCAGGGTGACTGTCCAGGAGTTGATCTTAGGTGGGGAACACGAGAAGGGCTTTATTCTCAAAGTCATGCACCCATGCACATACAGAATGCTCTTGATTCTCATCAGAAAATCCAGGGCATTTCTTTAGTGATATCTAGCCCCCTTTTAAAATTTTGGCCTGGCATAGCTTTCTGGCCTTGGAGTGGCATGGGAGAAGGAGTGTGTCAGCTGGTCCATGTTCAGGTCATGCAATTGTCCCCTTGTCTTGACCCCTGGTTGCCATCTCCACTCCCCACATTACGAGCCACCTCTGCCTGCGACAGATCGGCTCCCTCCTGGCCTGCAGCTTTTCTCCAACACTTCAAGGTTGCTTGGCCTCTTCTTTCCACGAATTCTCCATTTCCTGAAAATTGGTTGACATAGTTTTTTCTTTTCTTATTGCAGTGCTGAGGGTTGAACCCAGGACCTTGTCCAACCCTGGCTGACACTTATCTGCCAGTGGCCCCTCTACACTTTTTTTTTTCTTCATTGTGGGTTCATTAATTGGTATTTTATTTTCATTGATGACTTCCCAGGAAGGAGACAAAGGAACAATTGTGTTTGGTTTAAATAAGAAGCCCATTTGCTGTTATAGAAAAAAAACTGGGAAATCAAATTACCAGTTTGCTTCTTTTCAAAACATTCTTTTTCCCCCTACTTCCTTAGAAAGGATGGTTCTTTTGGAAACATTTGCTGAGTGAAGGAAGGCAGTCAGAAAAGATCACAGGTTTCGTGATTCCATTTATATGAAGCGTCCAAAGTAGGCAAGTGCATAGAAAGTGGATTTCTACTTGAGTAGGGCTGGGGGCCTGGCGAATGGAGGAGGCATCTTTGCTTTGCTTTGCTTTGCTTTGTTTTTTTTTCCTTTCCCTTTCCCTTTCCTTTCCTTTTGTCCATGCTTGGGATGGAAGCCAGGGCCTCATGCATGCTGAGTACATGCTCTTATCACTGAGTTGCATTCCCAGCTCAAGGGTGCAGGTTTCATTTTTAGGATAATTGGTTGTAGTGACGGTGACACAACTCTGTGAATATACTAAAAGCTATTGGATTTTATACTTTATATGGGTGAGTTATATGAATTTTATCTCATTAGGGCTGTGAAAAGTGGTGTTTTACTATTGAATATAAAAAAGGTCCGTTGTGATGGTGAGGATGTAAAATCATCTTTTATTTATTAGGTTCAAAAATAAAGAAGTTGGTGTATCTGCCTGGTTTCATGGGATTAGCAGCCTCCATCTATTATCCACAACAAGCTATCACATTCGTCCAGGTGAGTGAGACCTACTAAGAAGCTAGGATTTCCATCATGCTTACTAATGTGGGATATATAGCTTTGCGGCCTCATTTTATTTTATTTTGCAATTTTTATAAAGCAGACCAAAATTTGTTTGCGTGTATAGGTGAACCACAGCAAATCTAAATGTTTTTCTTTACTGTGTACATTAATATTGGCCTTTATTCCTGTGATGGAAGTGTTCAGAGAGCATTCATGCTAATTTGATTGTTTTTTTGAGACAGGATCTCACTGTGCAGTTCATGCTGACCCTGAACTCACAACGTAGCCCAGGCTGGCCTCAAACTCAGTGCCTAAGCCTTCTGAGTACTGGGATTACAGGCATGCACCTGCTAATTTGAATATTAATCTGAGAAAATTTTAAATGCCATTTTTGCATACTTACATTAAAGTCAAAAGAGTGATGATTTTTTAGAAATTTTTACTTTTATCAGTACATGTTGTGGCACATAATGATTACATGCATCGTGGGGAGTGAGTACATGTACATAGCATGCATTAATAGCACCTATTAATTCTTTTTAATTACCCTCCCCTCTGCTCCTTCTCTCCTCCCTCTTGGTCCTCTTCCTTCTACCTCTTTTATATTTTTTTTATTGGTACAGTTTAGATATACATAATGATCACATTCATTGTAGGGAATTTGTACATGTACATGATATATCTTGCTTCTTTTTTTTCCCTTTCCCCTCTTCACCCTTCAACCCCTCTTCCCCTCCTTATTTACAAAAACTTTGTTTCCATATTTTTTACTTCTAGTTTCTTTTTTTTCTTGTCCCTTCCTTCCTTTCTCCCTTGCTCCTGCCTAGTTCCCCTTCCCATTTGAACATTTCTTTCCATTCCCCAATATCTGCATACATTTTGGTCTGCATACATTTATACTTTCATTTACCCCAATATCTGTATACACTTACACTTTTGATTTCTCACATGAGAGAAACAATGTGCTATTTACACATATGTGTCCAATTTCTTTCACTTAAGAGTTTGGTCTCAGGGTTCATTTAGCTAGAAATGTCTCAAGCTTATCCTTCATGGCAGAGTTGTAGTCCGTTATATTAAAAAAAAACACATTTTTATCCATTCATAGTTTGATGGACATTTGAGCTGTTTCCAAGATTTAGCTGTTCCAAACTGTGTTGCTATAAACATGGGTGTGCATGTATCACAGTGGTATGATGCTTTTAATTCTTTCAGGAAGGTACCAAGAAGTGGAATAGCTGGATCAAATGGAACCTTTGGTTGTAGTTTTGTGAGGAATTGACACACTGATTTCCATAGTGGTGCCCCAATCTACACTCCCAACAGTGGAGAAGGGTTCCCTTGCCTCTACAGCCCTGCCAGCATTTGTTATCAGTTGATTTCTTGATAAAAACCATTCCTCTGCAGTGAGATGGAATCTCGGCATTTTTTTCATTTGCATCTCTCAAATGACCAGTGATGTTGAACATTTTTTCATATATTTACTTCCCATTTCTACTTCTTCATCTGAGAATTGTCTGTTCATTTCAGATGCCCATTTTTGGATTGGGTCTTTAAATTTGGGAGTCTGATTTTTTGAGTTCTCTATATATTCTAGATATTAGTCCTTTGTCAGAGGAACAGCTGGCAAAAAAAATTTTCTTACTCTCTGGGTCGTCCCTTCACTCTGTTAGTAGTTTCTTTCGTTGTGCAAAAGCAGTTTAAAGATGAGATGTTTGTTCTTGATTCTTTGTGATATTTCCTGTGTGATTAGGGTTTTGTTCTTAAAGCCTTTGTCTACACCAATGGTTTTAAGAGTTCTACCTATTGTATCTTACAGCACATTTAGTGTTCTGTTTTAATATTTAGATCTTTGATCCATTTCAATTTTAGTTTAGTGCATGGTGAAAGATATGGGTCTAGTTTTAATTTTCAGCATGTGGAAAGCCAGTTTTTCCAGCACCATTTATTAAAGAGGCTCTTTCTACCAGTCAAGGTGTTTGACTCCGTTGTCAAAGATAAGATGGCTGAGTATGTTCGAAGTTGTTTCTGCATCTTCTAATCAATTCCATTGATCCTTGGGTTTTTTTTTTCCAATACCATGCTATTTTTATCACAGTAGGTCTGTAGTATAATTTCAAGTCAGGGATTTTGATGCCCCCTGCCTTGCCTGTGTTGCCCAGAATTGCATTTGCTATTCTAGGTCTCTTCTGCTTCCAAATGAATTTTAGGATTGTTTACTCTAATTCTATGAAATGTGCTATTTGTATTTTAATCAAGATTATATTGTCTGTATAACAATTTTGAAAGTATGGCCATTTTCACTATATTGTTTCATAATACCCAAGAACAAGGGATATCCTTCCATTTTCCTCTTCAATCTCCTTTATCAGAGTACTGTACTTTTTAATGTAAAGGTCTTTTACTTCCTTCTTTAGGTTCTTTCCTAGGTATTTCATTTTTTTGGATATTATTGTGAAAGGTTTGTTTCCTAATTTCTCTCTCAGTGAGTTTGTTATTTGTGCACAGGAATGCTATTTATTTATTTATTTATTTAGGTACTGAGGATCAAACTCAACCTTGTGCTTGCAAAGCAGATGCAGTGCCAGTGAGCTAAATCCCTGGCCCGCTATTGATTTTTGAGTGTTGACTTTGTATCAGCTGCTCAACTTAATTTGGTTATTAAATCTAGAAGACTTTTGGTAGAGTTTTTGGGGTCTTCTATGTAGAGTATTATGTCATCCACAAATAATGATAATTTAACTTCTTCCTTTCCTATCTTTATTCCTTTTATTTCTTTCTCTTGTCTAATTGCTCTGGCTAATGTTTCCAGAACTATATTGAATAAGAGTGGTGACAGTGGACATCCTTGTCTTGTTCCTGATTTTAAGAGTGAAAGTGTTCAGTTTTTGACCATTTGGTATGATTTTGGCTGCTGATTTTTCATAGGTGGCTTTTATCAGATTGAGATAAAGACCATCTATTCCAGTTTTCTGTCGGCTTTTTATCATGAATGGGTGTTAGGCTTTGTCATACACTTTTTCTGTATCTATTGAGATGACCATATGGTGTTTGTCTTTGGTTCTCTTAATATAGTATATTACATTTATTGATTTGCATATGTTGAACCATCCCTGAGTCCTTGAGATGAATCCCACCTGGTCATAGAGTATCTTCTTGATGATTTCCTGCATTCTGTTTGCTAGTATCTTATTGAGGATTTTTGCATCTATGTTTATTAGGGAGATTGGCCTGTAGTTCTGTTTTCTTTGGTGGGATCCTTTTCATGTTTTGGTGTCAGGGTAATGCTTGATTCCAGAAAGGAATTTGGGAGTACTGCTTCCTTTTCATCATTAAAGAGTTTGAGATGTAGCAGTATTTGGTCTTCTCTGAGTATCTCATAGAATTCAGCAGTGAATCTGTCAGGGCCTGGACTTTTCTTTATTGGCTGATTTTTAATTACATCTTCAATTTTGTTGATTTATACTGGTTTATTTAGTTTTAATACTTCTTGATTTTTGCTTTGGTAATTCATATGTATGTAGGAATCTGTCCATTTCTTCTGTGTTTTCCATCTTATTAGAAAACAGATTCTTGAGGTTGCTATTGATGACCTTATGAATTTCTGCAGGATTCATTGTAATTTCACTCTTTTTGTTCCTAATTATATGAATTTGAGTCTTTCCTTTTTCATAAAGTTGGCTAAAGGTTTGTCAATTTTATTTAGTCTTTGAAAGAACCAATTCTTTGATTATTTGTATTGTTTTGTTAGTCTCTGTTATATTAATTTCTGCTCTGATTTTATAATTTCCCCCTTTGTACAAGCTTTGGGCTTGACTTACTCTTCTTTTTCCTGAAGCTTAAGGTTCAACATTATATTGTTTATTTGAGTTCACTCTGTTTTTTTGATATGGGAACTCAGTGCTATAAATTTCTCTTGTAGATCTGCTTTCATTACATCCCATAAGTTCTGGTATGTGGTATTGGCTTTATTGTTTAATTGTTTTTTGTTTTGTTTTTTTGGTTTTATGAGACAAGGTGTGGCTATGTAGTTGAAGCTGTCCTTGTAGCCTATGGCTACTATGTAGCCTAGGCTGGCCTCAAATTCATAGCGATTCTCCTGGCTGAATGCTGGGGTTACAGCTATGGGCCTCCTTGCCTGACTTTTCGTTTAAGTTTAGAAACTTATCTAATTTCTTCTTTAATTTCATCTGTGACCCATTGGTTGTTTGGGAGGGTTATTTAATTTCCATGTGTTTATGAAGTTTTTGTGGTTTCTTTTGCCATTGATTTCTAATTTTATTGCACCACAATCTGATAATATATATCAGATAATTTTAATTCCTTTGCATTTACTCATTACAGTCTCCCGCATCCCACCCTTTAATTTTCAGTCTGTGGATTTCTTTTTTAATTAAATGTGTTTCTTGTATGCAGCATGTTATTGTATCTTGCTTGATCCATTCTGCCAGTCTGTTTCTTTTCATTGGTGATTTGAGACCCTTTACATTGATATGTATATACTTATCCATCCCATGTTATTTTCACTTGACTTGCCTTGCCTCTCTTGGGGTTCATGGAGTTGTAGTCTTCATTATCTCTTTCTAAAATGTCCTTCAGAACATTTTGGAGTGCTGGTTTGGTGGTCATGAATTTCTTCAGGTGTTATTTTTCATGGAAGTATCTTATTTCTCCATCAATTTTGAAAGATAGTTTACATCAGTCTGGGTTGGAGGTTATTTTCTTTTAGGGCTTGAAATACTTCACTTCAAGTTCTCCTTGACTTGAGGGTTTGTGTTGAGGAGTCTGCTGAGATTCTGGATGGGCTTCCTTTTTTTTTTGGTACCAGGGATCAAACTTGGGCCCTGTGCTTTTAGGTAGGCAGTGGAACCACTGAGCCAAATCCCCAGCCCTGGATGTGCTTCTTTTATAGGTGATTTGTTTCTTTAAGAACTTTTAATATTCTGTTCTTGTGTTGAATTTCTGGAATCTTGACTATTATATGCCTTGGTGTAGATTTTTTTAAAGTCATGGTTAATTGGAATTCTATATATCTCACTTATTTGTATGTCAAATTCTTTTTCATGCTTGGGGCATTTTTCTGCCATTTGTTCTGTGAAGAGGGTTTTTATGTCTTTCGTGCTTTTTTTTTGATGTCCTGGCTTTTTTGGTGGGGGGTGGTTTGAGACAGAGTCTCACTATGTAGTTGAGATTGACCTGGAACTCACTATGTAGCCCAGGCTGGTCTTGAACTCACAGTGATCCTCCTGCCTCAGCCTCCCAAGTGCTGGGATTACAGGCATGCACCACCATGCCCGGCTATGTCCTGGCTTTTTATTGATGCCAATCTTAGGTTATTCTTCTTTGCATCATCTAGCCACTGTTAGATAGATTTTTTTCATAACCCCTTGCTATTTTTTAGAAATCTTTCTTTTCATGATCACTAATTTCAGTCCTGTCTTCTATATCTGCTATTCTTTCCTCACATTGCCTCATTCTACTTTCTATCAAATTTTTAATCTCCTGGATATCTGTTTGAATCTGTTTTCATGTATTCCATTTCTTTTGTATATTGGCCATTCACAGTTTCTATCATTTTTCTAAGCTCCTCTATTTTTTTAAATCTTTGTCTGCTCTAAAGTCACTAACCATGTCTTTCATTATGGTCACCATCTCTGTACTTATCTGAAGACTATTTCTGATGTGATGTTTTCTAGAGCCTCATTTATCTACTGTTACTACTTCAGAGTCCAGGGGGGTGGCTTTCAAATTGTACTTCCTCATTGTCCCCTTGGGTTTGCCTTTGGTGAGCTAGAAGTTTGGGGTTGCATCTTGCTAAAGTGCCTTCTCATTTTCTTTCTTTTTAAATTTAATTCTTGGGTTGATGCTTGTAAATTACTTATGGCAAGTAGCTTTATTGCTAGTGTTTAGAACTCTTAGGGAACTACTACTTCTCAGAGATGTCTTCGGTGTAGCTGGCTTTTGGGTTTTAAGCCTGTTGCAAGAACCTACCTCTTCAATTTATTGGTGATGAGAAGTTGCTGCCTATTTGGCCTAGCCGCTGGTTCTTTGGCACTGGCCTTGATAGTATTGTTTATGACACTTAGGCAGTCTCAATCTTGGCATAGCAGAGAACAACTGATTAGAAGAATTAGGACATTCTGCTGTCACTATAGACAAAGTGGGCAGACAAGAGTCCAGATCCATGTTGATTAATCCCAGCAAGCCAGCCCTAGATTTAAGGCAGGGTAGTAGATAATTCCAGCCAGCCTGCATCTTTAGTTCCACTGAAGTGCAGACTGGTTTCTGGCTATAAAGCTGGAACCCAATTTGTTCTGTCTGTAACATTCTGTGTGCCTGCTGCCAGCTTCAACTCGGCTTCCTGCCAGCTTTAACTCAGCTATTTTGCCTCCTGCTGACTTGAACTTCGTTCCTCCTTACCCTGACACTGGGGCCACTCACTGGAGCCCTGCAGCTTCCCTGAGTTCCAAGCTCAGTTGGCCCCTCTCCAAGATGGCTACCAGCCAATCACACTCTCCTGGGGGGTGTCTGAACCCAAATAATTCACTAGCCACTGCAGCCTACTGCATCTACTGCTCCATTCCACTGGTGCATTTCTCCATGGATACCCTGGGGTTGCTAGTAGTCACTGTGTGTCCGTATTTTGAGCCAGCCCTCCCACACTGCCAGCTGGGGCACAGGGAGAAAGCACCACTTGACACCTCCTTCCCCTTTATTGAAATGTCTCTCTTTGCTCTCCCTGCGGGCTTCAATTCTTGCTTCAGATCCTTGCGAGGTCCTGGGGACCCATTTCTCTCACATTACCATATTCCAGTGTCTAGACACCAAATCTTGGAGAGACTGTTTCTCTCCTGTTCACCACTTCTCCATCTTCCCAGAAGTTCTTAGATAACTCCCAAGGCTAATAATTCTAAAGCTGCTAATTCTGTATCACCCTCACTTTGGTCTTGTCTGGTCACAACCTGACCTCATTGGTGTGGCAGATGCAGACTGCCCTCTGGCCTCCATGCCTTCTCCCTGCTGCTATCAGTGCCAGCCTTGGTTTCTTTCCTGGGGTCTTGGAGGTGTGCCTTCCCAGGACTCACAGTTGGTTGCTTTGCAGTGTTAAGCCTCAGCTTGATGGTGTCCTGGCAAGTGGGGAAACAACAGTGGCAGGCAACCTGGCTAAAGCTGGCCCAGCAGTTCTCCAAGCATGGTCTTTAGGCCAGTAGGCCCACTATCCCTGAGACTCACCCCAGGCCAACTGAGTCAGGCAGGCAGGTTTTGAGTTTTGTGGAGCTTGTGGAGGTCCCAGTTGCCAGAAATGCTGGATCACATGGTTATTCAGTCCCAGGAGGGGACAGCAGTGCAATTGCCAGTCAGCCCCTCAGCACGCTGTCCAGCTGAGCTTGAAACTGAGCTCCCTGAATTCCTCAGGACAGAGTGGTGCCAGGTTCCTGGATTGGGCTGTAGTTCTAGATAGGTATCTCCTGGCCCTGCTGTATGAAACATGGCTTTGTGGATCTTCCCAGCATAGGCTCAGTATTGTTACTAACAATCTGAAGCACTTTTCTGTGGAAAACTCAACACTTAAAAAAAAAAGTTTCTGGGGCCAGGGATGTAGCTCAGTGATGCCACACCTGCCTCGCAAGCCACAAGGTCCTGAGTTTGATCCCTGGTACCCCCCCCAAAAAAAAGTTTCCAGTGACTCCAGCCAGCTTGCCAAAGGTGGACACAAAGGTCTTGAGCTTCCTGAGTACAGGGCTGCCCCTGGGTATGTTGGAGGAGTGATTCTAGATCAGGTTACCTTGAAAACATATAGAGATTCCAAGACTTTAATTGGGAGGGCAGAGAAAACTGGGAGCATCTACCTTGGATTCACTTATTCTCCACCTAAGCCCCTAAAATGAGTTATCAGTGTTACAACTCAGCAGATGCTAGTTGCTTGGCCACAGTATATCAGACAGGGTGCTAGGTGGGATGGGCAGATGTCTGCTTTCTGTGTCTGATTTTCTGTATTTTCCTGTATCAGAAATGGTCTTTTATGTTTTCCCCTTAAGTTTCCAAAGTGGCATATACTCCTGTGGTGGAAGGTGGTTTCGGTGCAGAGCATTTTCCTCATTTGTATTAGGAATCCTGAGTTAAATCCCCCAGCACCAAAACCAAGATAAAACCAAGGATATAGGCCTGTAATCTATAGTACATTTTTGTTTGTTTTAAGACAGGGTCTCTCTCTGTAGTTCAGGCTGCCTTCAACTCACTACGAAATTTAGGCTGACTTCAAACTCATAGCAATCCTCCTGCCTCAGCCTCCTGAGTGCTGGGATTATAAGGCTGCACCACCACGATTCACAGTCTTAATTATATATCTCAAAACTTTCTGTAGTAGTCATGTACTTAAATGTCGTTATTTTGTAAACAGGAAAAAGAAAATGGAAAATTCTCTTCCTTACCATTCATGTACAGAATAGCAACAGATATTTTCTATTATGTTTCAAGGTCAGTGGGGAGAAGTTGTATGACTGGGGCTTACGAGGATACATAGTTGTAGAAGATTTGTGGAAGGAGAACTTTCAGAAGGTAAGAAACGTCATTTTCATTATGCTCCTTTTGGCTTGAATATGCATCTTCTCTAGGGTTTGGGGAAACACTCGATAGCCCTGATGCTTGACTTGCTTTTTCTGTTTTAGTTGTGCGGCTCAGATGTCCTAGTACCCTCTCCTGGAAGAACACTCCCTCCTCAGCATTGGGTTGTTCTCAGCATGGTCAAATGTGTGGTGACCGTAAAACACATCCCACTGTACCTAGTCACCATTTCTCCTCTGTTCTGTTTATATTTGGCTCAAACTTTGCAAATAATCTGAACGATTCTAACCTACGTTCCCAGGAAAAAAGACATAACAAAAACCCCCTTGCTCTTTCACTTGTCATAAGCTCTATCTTTCTGTGGCAGTACTGTACCTGTCTGTGCCCCTGAGGAGGGCAGAACTGTAGGGCATTAGGGACCAGGCCCCAGCCATAGGCCACGCCCCCTGTGCCAGGAGGTGGGGTGTAGCAGAGGCAGGAGGGGATGTAGATGTAAGGATGTGTCACCTTCCATCCTCTTCTAGCAGCCACTGGGCTCCTGCTAAGTAAGAGCAAATATGGAATAAGTATTCACAGACAGCCAGCTAAAGCACAGTTAGGGTTCTCCTGTCAGCATCCCTTCTTCAGCAGAGGCTGAAGGAAGTTCATTTTGAGTCTAATAATTTCAAGTGAACATAACTCATTTAAACATACAAAATGGAGCCTGGCATGGTGGTGCACACCTGTAATCCCAGCACTTAGGAGACTAAGGCAGGAGGATCCCTGCAAGTTAGAGGCCAGCCTGGGCTACATAGTAAGTTTGAGGCCAGCCTGAAGTGCATAGCATGACCGTGTCTCAAAAACACAAAACAAACAAAATATATTGTCGGGGTGGAGGGAACACAAAAATGTATACAAACTTCAGGAAAAGAAAAACTTGTATAAAATTTTTTGTACCCAGGATCAAACTCAGGATCTTGTGCTTGCAAGGCAGGTATGGTATCACTGAGCTAAATCCCCAGCCTGTATAAATATTTTCATACTAAATTTATTGAGACATCATGAGATTAATGCAAGTTACCTTTGGTCTCTACAATTAGAAGAGGTGCTCAAAGTGGTGGCCATGAGCTTCCATCATTTATTAGTACGTTGAACTGCTGCTTGGGTAACCTTGGCCATAGAGATTGCTGCACATGCACTTTCAGTTTCTTCTATATTTATGGGTTGGGGATTTAGCTCAGCGGGAAAGCATGTACTTATAATGTTGTGGGAAAATATGAAATATATCTCCCAGCCTGTTAACTGTATGATACACCAAGTTCTTGTTCTCTAGAAATCGAAGAATGAGTCCTGGGAACGATGGAGGTTAAGTGTAGGAAGATATTTATCGATAGGAACGCTCCTGAGGGGCAGGAGGGGTCCCTACTTTACAGAGCAGTCTTATAGGGTGAAACCCGCGTGGGTACAACGTGAGCCACAGCCGTGAACATCCAGTAAGGTTACAAGTGTAGTCACTTAGGTAAGGGTGGTCCCATTGGGAAGCAAGTCACACAGTAAGCATGGAGGGAAGAATAAGGGTTCTCCCAGGAGGCGGTGGGTCCAGAGGTCTCTGGCCACTTCCAGCGCGATCAGTGCCTATCCATACTTCACTAAGCCCAGTTCTTTGAAGAAGTATGTGGGTCTGGTCATCTTGTCTCCATCTTGAGGCCTGGTTTTCAGCCGATGTGTAGCTGTGGTGTGTTTCAGCTTTGTCCTGGCCTTCTTGAGGACTTAACCCTATCTGACTGCCTATAATATTTCTACCTAGCTTATCTATCTATAATACAAGCACCACAAAAAGAAAAAGAACCGGGGTAGTGATACACTCCTGTAATCTCAGTGATTACAGGATTATAGGGGGAAGAGATGTAACTCCCAAACCTATTAGGTATCCAAAATGTGAGTTCATGTTCTCTAAAGTCAAAGAATGAATTCTAGGAACAACAGAGGTTAAGAGTAGGAAAATTTGTTGAGAGAAAGAAAGCTTCTAAGAGAGACAGAAGGGGGACCTGGAATGTGAGTTTTTGGTGATCCTATTTCCCAGGGGTTTTTTATGGAGCAAAGCAACAAGATGAGGCAGGTTCAAGGTGGGACAAAACTATAAGACCCAATGGAAAATTATGAGGTGGGACAAACCATGGCCAACCAATAAGATTACAAGTACAGTCTACCCAGGTAATATTGATTAAAAGGGGATCAAATGGGAAAACAAGTCACATACAAGGAATTTCCCATTTAGAATATCAATCACTGTGATTTATCTCTAGGGGAGGTAGTGCCCCTTCTTTTTGTAATGCTAACCGGTGAATGTGCTACAATATTCTTTTTTTTTGTTGTGTGGGATTGAACTTGGGTCCTTGCACTTGCAAGGCAGGTGGCGGAAACTCTGAGCTAATCATTGGCCCTCAATGTTCTTCATGTTGGCTCCTCACTGTGTTGGCTCCTGGAGTGCTGACGCCTTGAGGGGGACCCTGTCTAACTACCTACAAGATACCCAGTTAACTTACCTATCTACTACAATCTCAGCACTGTGGGAGGCTGAAGCAGGAGGATTGTAAATTGGAACCCAGCAAAAGAGAGAGAGAGAACACATAAGAGAACTATCTCAAAATTAAAATCCAGTATTTTGAACCAGAATTTGAAAGTCACATTATAGAATAAAATATGTTTTCCCCATTGTGTACATAAATACATCTACCAGTGGGGGGGAGGGGTAGGAGAAGTGGGAAGGGTAGGGGAAAGGTAAGAAGGGAAAAGAAAAAATAAGAGAAAGGGGAAAAAATGGAAACAAAGTCTTTGTAAATAGGGAAGGGTGAAGGGGGTGAAGGGAGGCCAGGGGAGTGAGGAAAAAATAAGAACCAAGATCTATCATGTAAAGGTACAAGATCCCAATGATGAATGTAACTGTATTGTACACCTAAAATGTACCAATAAAGAAAAAAAATTTATTTTGAGATGGGGTCTTGCTATGTAGGCTGGCCTTGAAATTAACTTTGTAGCCCAGGCTGGCCTTGAACTCACAAGGATCCTTCTGCCTCAGCCTCCCGAGAGCTGGGATTACAGGCTTGTGACACCATGCTTGGCTCTACGAGTGAAATCTTAAGGCAAATTTTTATACTGATGATTTATAAAAGAATTGGTGCCTTTTGAGCCTGTTTAAAATGGCTCTTCAATGGGAATTTCTCTCTGTATCAAGTGTTCCCCGACAATCCCTTTTAAAGAATAAACACTCCCAACTGTATTTTCATTTTTCTAACATTTTCTTTGGAAGAGTTCCTTCCTGTTTAAAAAAATTCCTTAAAAAGTCCACACCACATTTAATATGAGAAAGAAAATAAAATGCCAGGAAAACCCTACATAGCACTAGAAACACGGGGAATGAGACTAAATCAGGCTCAACTCTGAGTGCTGGGCACGCGTGACTGAAGCTGCTGGCCACCAAAGCAAAGGTGTCCCCAGGGCCTCACATCTGCAGACTTGTCACTCCAGGACTGAGTGGGTCACCTGGGCCTGGCAAAGGGCTGTGGTCAGAAAACAAAAGAGGCAAGCACTCCAGCAATTCGAACACCTCAGCACAGTGGTACAGCTGCTCACATCTGCAGCCAGTCTTTCTGGAGATGTGGGGTAAAGATGTCTCATTAGCTCATGATTCGCAGGCATTTCTCCCTCTCTGTCTGCTACACCTCTGCCTTGTCAAAGTCCATGTGAACTGCAGATGTTCTTGAAGCCAGACTTACTGGTGTCCGCCTCTAATCCCAGCACTGTGGGAGGCTGAGGCAGGAGTGAGTCCCACTGGAGCCAACTTAGTGAAACCCTGCCTCAAAATAAAAAATAAAAAGTGCTGGAGTGCAAAGGTCCTGGGTTTAATTTAGTACCAC